AGAGGATGTTTCCACTGGCAGGTGAAGCTAGGACAAGAGGGCATAGCCTCAAGATTAGAGGGAGCAGATTTAGGACTGAATTGAGAAGGAACTTCTCCACCCAGAGGGTTGTTAATCTATGGAATTCCTTGCCTAGTGAAGTAGTTGACGCTACTTCAGTAAACGTTTTTAAAGATAAGGTAGATTTTTTTTGAACAATAAAGGAATTAAGGGATACGGTGAGAACGTGGGTAAGTGGATCTGAGTCCACGAAAAGATCAGCCATGATCTTATTGAATGGCGGAGCAGGCTCGAAAGGCCGGACGGCCTACTCCTGCTCCTAGTTCTTATGTTCTTTCTCCATAACAGCTTGGGGGCTCAAGTCCAGGATCTGGCCAGTTTGTGTACAGGATCTGAATGGATTTGGAAAATTTAAACAAATTTGGGGGTTAGTGTCCTAGATCTTTAAATAAAACTGAGGTGACAAAAATCTGTTTAATTTTGGTTACTTGTGGTTAGTTAAATAAAAAGTGAGGGAAATAGCTGTTAACATTGTTAAAGAAGTTCTTGGGAATTTGAAGATGCTTCCCAAATTTGCCAAGGAAGTTTGCAAGTTTAGGATAATAGGTCAGCACATCGTAGCCTGAAGAGCCTGTACTGTGCTGTACTGTTCTATGTTCTTAAAGACAGAGGAAGGACATACTTTTAGAATTAGCAAACAGGCTAGAATTGGGTTTGACTAGGGACAAGAGGAAAGCTGAAATTGTAAAGGAGTTAGTCAAGCATTTCGGTATACCAGAGAAACAGGAAAGTGCAGGGGAGCTAGAAAAAATTAAATTGCAAATTTGACAACTGGAGTTAGAGAATGAAAGGCAACAGAAACAGTTTGAATTACGGTTACAAGCAGAGGAAAGAACAAATGAAAAGAGAGACAGAAGAGAGGGAAAAAGAGAGAGAAGAAAGGGAAAGAATGTCCAAATTGGAAAAGATGCAGGAGGAAAAGTACAAGATGAGCAAGCTCATTGTAGCCAACAGCCTGGTAGGGATATATACAAATAAGTCCAAACATTACCAAAACTTGTTGAAAAAGATGTAGAAGCCTTTTTTATTTCCTTTGACAAGTTGGCTAGGCAGATGAATTGGCCAGAGTCTACGTAGGTAATGTTAATTTAGATGAAGTTGGTCGGCAGAGCTAGTGAAGTCTTTGCAGTATTGTCAGAGGAGGTGTCAGGAGACCATGAAGGAGTGAAACAGGCTATTTTGAGTGCCTATGAATTGGTACCAGAAGCATATAGACAACAGTTCACAAATACAGGGAAGGAACCAGGTCAGACTTATATCAAGTTTGAAAGAATTAAACATTGTAACTTCGATAGATGGGTGAGAGCATTAAAGATAGAAAAGACATATGTGGATCTTAGAGAGATTATTCTGCTGGATGAATTCAAAAACTCACTTCCAGAAATGATAACAACTCATGTTGAGGTACAGAAAGTTCAAACAGTGAGAAGAGCTGGTAAGAGAGGCTAAATCAATGGGATTAGTTGAAGTAATGAAGGAAATCCCAAAAGAAGTCAAGGAGATGCAGGAGAGTGCACAGCCTAGTTACGGGCTGGATTGTGAGACTGTGCCCGATCTCTACAAAGTCCTCACCTCTGTGGGTAAGGTTTACACAGGAAGAACAGGGGGAGAAGGTAAAGAAGTTAAAATATTGCGAGATACGGGAGCTAACCAGTCTCTAATAGTAAGACATTAAAGTATTTGTACTCTTTCTGAAATGTTACCGGAGAGAGTGGCAATCTGAAGAATAAATGGAGCGAGATTTAGCCTGTGTAAGATCAGGTTGGAAAGTTCAATCAAGACTGGGGAAGTGACAGTGGGAATGATTGAAAGAGTGTCTATTCCAGGAATACAGTTTGTTCTTGGAAATGACCTAGCAGGATCAAAGGTGAGAGTGACACCCCTAGAGGTGGAGAAGCTGAAGGAAAACCAGGGAACTGAGGAGTTAAAAGAACAATACCCTGGAATTTTTCTGGATTGTGTGGTAACAAGATCCCACAGTCGTAAGTAACAGCAAGAAGGAAAAACCAAAGAGAGAGACGAAGGAGTTGAGGTCCAGTTGGCTGATAACCTGTTTGCTGAAATGGTAAAGGAAGAACATAAGCAGGTAGAGGATCACGCAGAGGTGTTTAGTTCTGACAGATTAATGGAGTGACAACAAAAAGATGGGCAATAAAAGGTTTTTGTCATAAAGCCTACTTCGAAAAGGAATAGAATGTATTCCTGCATGTTATTATCATGAGGATAGAATCCTAAGGTGAAAATGGAGACTGCAGCAGGTTCATACATAGGAGAAATGGTCAAGGGTTCACCAGATTGTGTTGCCAGTAGCATACAGACAGGAAGTATTGTGGGTAGCACATGAATTACCTGTAGGAGGTCATCTCGGAGTGAGGAAGACTCAGGTTAAGATACAAAAGCATTTCTATTACCTTATTACATAAGGATGTGGTTGAATTTTGCCATACCTGTCATATGTGTCAAATGGTAGGAAAGCCACAGGCAGAAATAAAACCCACACCTTTAACGCCAATTCCTGCATTTGAAGAACCTTTCACGTTGTTCATGATCAATCGTGTAGGTCCCCTCCCTAAAACCAAAAGTGGAAACCAGTATTTGCTAACCATAATGGATGTGTCTACCAGATTTCCAGGGGCAATTCCATTACGGAACGTTAAGGCAAAAATGGTTGTGGAGGAGTTGCTTGCTTTCTTTACCTGTTATGGCCTACCCAGGGAGATTCAGTCAGACCAAGGGTCCAATTTTACTGCCAAACTGTTTAAGGAGGTCATGGACAGTTCAGGCATCCAACACAAGTGTGTACCACCCTGAATCCCAAGGAGCATTGGAAAGGTGGCATCAGACCCTAAAATCCACGCTGATGGTTTCTTGCCAGGATTTTCCAAATGATTGGGGTAAAGGTATCCAATTTATATTGTTTGCCATTACAGATGCCCGAAATGAACTGACGCAGTTTACTCCTTTTGAGTTGATAGTCGGACTCAAAGTAGGAGGGCATTTAAATTTAATTAAGGAAATGTTGATTGGTCCAAAGTCAGAGATTTCACAGTTGGATTATGTCTCTGAGGTGAGAGAAAGATTAAACAGAGTAGGTGAATTAGCTGGACCACACCTGAAGGTGGCACAGCACCTAATGAAGCAAGAAGCAAAGAAATCTAAAATTCATACATTTGCCCATGGGATAAAGTATTAGTGCCGTTACCAATGGTAGGAGATCCCTTCAAAGCAAGGTTTAGTAGTCCTTATCAGATTGAGAAGAAAGTGAGTTAGGTGAATTATCTGGTAAAGATGCCAGATCGGAAAAAACTTTATCAGATATGTCGTGTGAATATGCTGAAACTTTACTATGACAGGGACAGGGAACTGAAGAAACAGGTATTAGTTACTGCCCCTCAGAGTGAGAGATCAAATCCAGATGATTTAGATTTTGATGTGCCTCAAAATAAATTAAATAATGAGGATGTCCTTGGAGAATGGGATGGGATAGTGAGCTAACTGTCTCAGGAAGAGAGAACTGAATTGAAAGGTTTGTTGCAGCAAAATGAGGACATATATAGGTATAGAATGGGGAGAACTAATATTATAATACATGAGGTTTAAGTAGGGAATGCTGATCCTTTAAAACAACACCCCTACAGGCTTAATCCTCTCAAAGCCGCACAGATAAAGAAGGAAGTGGAAGAGATGCTCCAAGGAGACATCATCGAGCCAAGTCAAAGAGTGTGGAGTTCGCTGATCGTGTTCCCAAACCTGATGGTACTCAATGGTTCTGCATGGATTATTGGAAGGTCAATGCTGTAACTAAATCAGATTCATACCCAATTCCAAGGCTGAAGGACTGTGTGGAAAAAGCTGGACAAGCCACTTACATCACAAAGTTGGACTTACTTCGTGGTTACTGGCAAGTACCTTTGTCAGAGACAGCAAAAGAATTTTTAGCGTTTATAACCCCAAATGGGCTGTACCAATTTAAAGTAATGCCCTTTGGAATGAAGAATGCACCAGCCGCATTTCAAAGACTTATGAACAGAGTTGTGGCAGGATTGACTAATTGTGCCGTCTATATAGATGACTTAGTGATCTTTAGCCTTCATGGAAAAATCACATGGTGCATTTGGCATAGCACTTTGAAAGACGACGGGAGGCAAAACTGGTTATAAATTTAACAAAAACTGAATTTGTGAAGGCAGAAGTGACATCCTTGGGACACAACATCAGACATAGAAGGATGACCCCGAGGAATGTGAAGACGAATGCTATTGAGGAATTTCAAAGCCCATCCTCAAAGGAAGAGGTGCTTTGATTTCTGGGATTGAGCGGACTCTACTGGAAGTTTTTACCATACTGTAGTAGCATGGTGGCTCCGCTGATGGATTTGCTAAAGAGGAACATGAAATTTCAGTGGACAGAACAATGCCAGGAGGCATTTGAGAATTTAAAAGCCATGTTAGCCACCACACCAGTTTTAGCCACACTAAATTTCTTGAAACCCTTTAAAGTCACTATCAATGCTAGAAATGTAGGTCACAAAACTACAAAAATAAAAACTTTAATCTATCAAGCCAGGCTTCTCTCTGGGATCTGATTTGTTCAGAATAACTATCAGCTGGGATCATAACAAAAGCATCTGTTAGGCACTGTATGTTTTCATTGTGAAGAAATATTGCTGTACTGGAAAAATCAAGTCCATATGCTTTGTGAGTCTACTTAAGGAATGTAGGAATTACAGTTTGTAAAACATCAAATATGTGTATTTTAATTTAAATCAACGATGTTTGTCAACAAGTTCGTACCAAATGATCATCTTACATTTCAGATTATTTCCTATCACTTGTTACTTCAAGTGTGGATTCAGATTCGCTGAGGTCTCTTTCAGCAACAAGTTTGCAGAGACCTAGTCAGTTTATGTGCAGTTTAGAAATCAGATCTTTTTGCTGTACCTTTTGCTAGCCACACCATTCCACAGTTTTGGTTGTGACAAGAATTGTCGCTCCTTCTTCAGTGGCTGGTAAAGGAAGTGAAGCATCACAGTCACAGTTTTCCTGAGTACCTGCTACCAACATCTTCATTTCATTTCCTTGAGATGTGCAATTGGTAACTTCACTTTCCACACACTGTTCAGATTGTTGATTCCTCTCAGGAGAGAATCTTTGTGCATCTTTAGCCAATGTGTGTTCCTTGAAACCTGAAGCAATGGCATTGCTATCGAATGTAACCTCTGAAATCGGAATGTAAATAAATACGCAATGACCTTGTAAGTTGAGAAACAATACATGCATGTACCTACCATCCTACATTTTTACACACAATTCAGCAAATTCTGTAACACAAACAGAAATATGTGGAGAAACCCAGCAGGTTTGGCAGCATGTGTGGAGAGAAATCAGAATTAACACTTCGGGTCCAATGACTCTTCTTCAGAACATCAAATACGATGTTCACTGTTCACAATGCCGTCTCCTCTAAATTGGTAAGACTAAATGCAAACTTCATAACTGCATCGCAAGATGTCTCTGCTCTGTCTGCAAAAATGACCTGACCTTCCAGTTGCTGGCCATTTCAATACACCATCTTGCTCTGATGCTAAAATTTCCATTCAGTGAAGCCCAATGCATACTGGAAGTACCGCAGCTCATTGTCCCCTGAGGCATTTTACAGTCTTCAGGGCTCAACAGTGAGTTCAACAACTTTAGAACATGAACACTGACCTCCATTTCAAATATACCTCCATTCCACCTACCCAGCCCCTAACAGCACTCTCTGGTATGCTGATGGCATGGTTATGCCCACAGCAGGGCTGACCTATATTGTACTATTCAGACCTACTATTATCACCTATTCATCACATATATCATGCAACTACCACCACTAGCACTCCCTTTGTCTTTTTCCCTGAACACGCTCACCATCTTTTCCACTTGATCCTCCTCCCCCTCTATCAACAGCATAAAAACCATAAATTTTCCAGCCCCTTCCGTTCCAAAGAATAGTCATACTGGACTTGAAACATTAAATTTATTTCTCATTCTGCAGATGCTCCCAGACCTGCTGAGTTTCTCCAGCCTTGTATGCCATGTATCAATATTCTTATCTTCTGCAATTCAGCTTTCTCCACATTGACTCAGGATTTTAAAATTATATAAATATGATTTTCTTTCCTCCAAACATTATGATCAGTGGTGTGTGGCAGAGCACTGAGTGCCAAGATAGCTTGCTGCAAATTCAAGCCTAATGCATTCGCTTCTCTTTTATTTATCCTCTTTTTTATGTTGCTTAGAAAGTGTCACACAATATCAGTAATGTGGAAAACTTTAAATTTTGTATCACTATAAATCGCTCAGTTCACTGATAATTTAATTATTCTGGACATACGGAGTTGACATTTATATCTTAACACTGATGATTATTCCAATGTATGGAGACAGCACTGAATTGTGCAGAGTATACGGAATTGTATCACACAGATGGAAGTCATTTGACCCATTAAGACCCATTTGATGGGCTATGTGGTGGGGTCATTTACCTGTCCTTTCACCAAACCTCTGTTTTTCTTTAATCTTTCAAGTATTTATCAAATTACCTGAGAAGACTATTATTGAACATGTATCCACTGTAGTGATTGTAATGAAGTCAGCCAGGTGGACCTCATAGAATATGAATTTCCTGATTTGGGCTATTAATCTGGTCAAATCAGGGAGTCCTGATTGACAGATATAAACGGGAATGTCAGGGGTTCTGTTTACTCTAGGAGCCAGCTCTGAGATAGCTGGGTCTATGTCATGTACTATGTATGTGTAGATAAAGGTGACTTGGTGACAAAATACCAGCCTTCATGGAGTTATTTCACCACCATGCTATGTGGCAGTGCATTCCAATCCAGTTATTGTATTTGAAAAACAACTTTATTCATGTATCCAACGTATCATTCTCTGCCACTTCCGCCAACTAAAATCCGACCCCACAACCAAAGATATATTTCCCTGCAAGGTTCTTGAGTAGATTTTGTAGCTTGGGTTGTAGATGCTGTGGTTGGTTCACTCACAAAGCTGGTTCATTTGTTCGCAGACGTTTCACTATCCTGCTGAGTAACATCATCAGTTCAGCCTCCAATGAAGTGCTGTTGTGTTTTCCCACCTGGTATTTAAACTCTGGGGTCTGTTGGAATTGGTTACCTCATTTCCGGTTTTTCTTTGCAGTGGTGTATATATAGGGTCTAATTCTACGTGTCTATTGATGGTCTTCTTGGTGGAGAACCAAGCCTCTAGAAATTCCTGTGTTGTCTCTATTTGGCTTGTCCTAGGATCCTGATGTTGTCCCAATCGAACTGGTCATTCTCCTTATCTGTGTGAATGGAGATGAGTACGTACTGGTCATGGCTTTTTATTGCTAATTGGTGTTCATGTACTGTTGTGGCCAGTGTCCTTCCTGTCTGTCCAATGTAATGTTTGTCGCAGTCTTTGCATAGGATCTTGTATATCACGTTGATTCTGTCCATAGTGGGTAAGGGGTCTTTGGTTCAAGTTAGCAGTTGGCGTACGGTTGACATAGGTTTGTGTGTCACTCTGATGGCCAATGGTCGTAGGAGTCTTGTGGTCAGTTCGGATATGTTCTTGATGTATGGTAACATGACGAGTGTGTCAGAGCGTACTGTATCTTCCTGTTGTTGTTTGTGTGATAGGCATCGTCGGACCCTACTATTTGGGTATCTGTTGTCCTTAAATACTTGGTAGAGGTATTCTTTGTTTTGGCATAGTTCCAGGTTGCTGCAGTGTGTTATTGCTCATTTAAGTAGTGTTTTTACGCAACTCCGTTTGTGGGTGTTGGGGTGGTTGCTGTTGAAATTCAGGACTTGATCCGTGTGTGTGGCCTTTCTGTGTACCTTTGTCAGAAATTCCCTGTTGGCCCTGCGTTCTACCATGACATCCAGGAATGGGAGCTGTTCGTTTTTTTCTTCTTCCTGGTGAATTTGTTGCTGGTGAGAGTATTGATTATAAGTTGGTGTGTCTCCTTTTTAGTACATTTGATGATGACGAAAGTGTTGTCCACGTATCGGATCCATAGTTTGGGTTGGATCTGCGGAAGGGCTATACTTCCAAGTCTCTGCATCACCGCTTCTGCTATTAGTCCAGAGATAGGTCACCCCATGAGTGTTCCATTGATTTGTTCATAGATTTGGCCATTAAAGGTAAAGTGGGTCCTGAGGCATAGGTCCAATAGTTTCAGCTTGTTGCCTGTGGAGATGGTGTCACTCAGGTCTCGTTCTTTTAGAAGTGTTGCTCATGTTTCTCTTGACAGTGGTATGTCAATCGATGTGAATAGGGCGGTAACATCAAAGGACACCATGGTCTCGTCCTCGTCTACTCTAATGTCTTCGAGAGAATTGAGGAACTCCTGGGCTGAGTGGATTGAATGGGGTGATTTGCTGACGAGGTGCTTTAGTCCTCTTTGTAACTCCTTGGCTAACCTGTGTGATGGCGTGCCTGGGAGGGAGACTATGGGTCTGAGGGGTACTTCCGATTTGTGTACTTTTGGGAGGCCATAGAATCAGAGGGTGTTTGTCCCTTCAGGTTTCATTTATAGGTAGTCGGCTTTGTTGATTTGTCCGGTCTGTTTGAGTCTCTTTATTGTGTTGATTATTTCATTACCCAGTTGTAGTGTCAGGTCTATTTACGCTTGCTGGTATGCATTCGTGTCTGCTAGTAGTGTCTGTGCTTTAGTGAGGTAGTCCCTTTTGTTTAGTATTACTGTCATGCGTCCTTTGTCTGCTGGTAGGATTATGATGTTTTTGTCTTTTTTCAGTCCTTCTAAGGCCTTCTTTTCTGATGTGTTAAGAGTGTTAAGTTTGTTCTTTCTGGTCAGTGTCAGGACCACTGTCTGTCTTATGGCTTGTTGTGTTTCCTCATTGATGCCGTTGGTCTGCAGTGTGGACTCTAGTGTGGCTAGGAACTCTGTCCTGTTAGAATCTCTGTGGCTGTAGTTGAGTCCACATATGAGAACAGCTTTCTCTGTGTCTGTTAGTGTCCTGTCTGAGAGGTTTCTTACCCAAGTGTCTGATCTTTGGTTGTCATTTTGGTGGGTTAGTTTGGCTAGTTTTTCTTGTCTTTTCTTGGTTCTTGTTATTTGTTGACTGATGTTAATGGCTCTTTCTAAGTCTGTTGTCCACTCTAGATTGCTTCCATCTAGGAATAGGGTATTTTGGCACGTAATTTCCCTGTCATATCAGTGGAGCCGGTTGTGTGCGTCATTAATCATTACCTTTACGATTCTGCGGCCGTGGTGTTCTGTTGTCCTATGTGCTTGTGGGTTGTTGATGGGAGGTTTGTAGCTAATACTGCACGGTAATCCCTGGATCCTGAGGCATCCATGTAGAAAGTAGAGTTGCTCGCGGGTAGCGCTCTGTTGTTTGGTGTAGGTTTCCCATTTCCGGGCATATTGTGCCAACCATACACCAACTGCTAACTCGAACCAAAGACCCCTTACCCACTATGGACAGAACCAACGTGACATACAAGATCATATGCAAAGACTGTGAGAAACATTACATTGGACAGACAGGAAGGACGCTGGCCACAAGAATACATGAACACTAACTAGCAACAAAAATACATGACCAGTACTCATTCATCTCCATTCACACAGATAAGCAGAACCACCAGTTCGATTGGGACAACATCAGTATCTTAGGGCAGGCCAAACAGAAACAAACACGGGAATTTCTTGAAGCTTGGTTCTCCACCAAGAAAGCCATCAATAAACACGTAGAATTAGACCCTATATATACACCACTGCGAAGAAAAACTGGAAATGAGGTAACCAATTCCAACAGACCCCAGAGTTTAAATACCAGGCGGGAAAACACAACAGCACTTCATCGGAGGCTGCACTGATGATGTTACTCAGCAGGGTAATGATACGTCTGCGAACGAATGAACCAGCTTGGTGAGTGAACCAACCACAGCATATATTTCAGTCCCCACCTCTGTCTGTCTTTTGTAGGGACCGTGCTCTCCGCAACTCCCTCGTCCACTCCACACTCCCCACTAATTCCTGGCACCTTTCCCTGCAACCGCAGGAAGTACTACACCTGCCCCTCCACCTCCCCCCTCAGGTCCATTCAGGGCACAAAACAAACCTTCTACATCAAACAGGGGTTCACCTGCACATCCATCAACATGGTCTACTGCATCCGCTGCTCTCGATGTGGCCTCCTCTACATCGGTGAGACCAGACAGAGACTCACAGACTGTTTTGTCGAGCATCTGTGCTCTGTTCGTGACAAACGACAACACCTTCCGGTCGCAAACCATTTTAACTCCCGCTCCAACTCCCTGGGTGACATGTCCATCCTGGGCCTCCTCCAGTGCCACAATAACACCACCCACAAACTGGAAGAGCAACGCCTCATCTTCCACCTCGGGAACCTACAGCCCGATGGCCTAAACATGGATTTCACCAGTTTTAAAATCTTCCCACCCCCGGCCTCATTCATGTCCAACCCTCCCTCTCATCCCCGCCTTCCTGACTTGACATAACCTTTCCATCTTCTCTCCCACCTATATGCCCCTCCCACCTCACTGACCAATCCCCACCACTCCCTACCTGCACTCACCTATCACCATCCCATCTACCCTCCCCAACCCCAGCTCCCCTCTCTCTATTTCTGAGCCCCCTTCCCCCTCGCCATTTCTGAAGAAAGGTCCTGACCTGAAATGCCAACTTCCCTGCTCCTCTGATGCTGTGGCCTGCTGTGTTCCTGCAGCTCAACTCTGTGTTATCTCTTTATTCATGTTTCCTCTGGTTCTTTTCCCAATCACTGAAATTTAATGAATACTTCACTGTGTCAGCGAAAGGGAATTAGGTCTGTTGAACAGGGAAGTTACATTTTTACCATTTGACAAAATTAGACAAGAAAAATTTGTAATTCATAATGAGTGTAGAACTAGGGGACATAATCTCAGAATGAAGGATAGGCCATTTAAGACAGGTGAGAAATCTTTGGAATTCTGTACCTCAGAAAGCTGTAGAAGCTCAATCATTGACCATGCTCAAGGAAGAAATTGATCAGTTTCCAGAGACAAATGACATTATAAGGACTTGGAGATGGCATGGGAAAGTGTCACTGAGGTAGAAGATCAGTCATGATTGAATTGAATTGCAGGACAGTTTGAATGGGCTCTTCCTGTTCTAATGTTCAGGTTTGACATTCTATATAAATTTAGCAATTTCAAAAATCACAATACCAATATCTAGTAAGTTTAAGGTGACAATAACCTTGTCCAACTAAGATCAACTTTATTATCATGACCTGTATGTTTTACTTTTATTGCAACATTGTAGGTGTTTGCACATCAGATGTACTCAACAAGAAGTAATTTCAGAAATAAAAACAGAAATTGCTGGAAAAACTCAGCAGGTCTGGCAGCATGACGGAGAGAAAACACAGTTAACATTTCAGATCCAGTGACCTTTCTTCACAACAGTTTTCCCAGTGATTTCTATTTTTTTGTTTTTAATTTTTTGCATCAGCAATTCTTTGGTTTATTTTAAGAGGTGATTCCAATCATGTAATTTTCCAAGCTTTGTTTCCAAACAAAGGAACAGCTTAAGTAGATCTAATCTTTTATCTAACCTTTGAATTTGAATATTTTAACCTAAAATTTGAATATTTTAGCTTGATAACTCTTAAAACGTAAATTCTGAGGTCGAAAGCATTTCAAGTTATCTTTCCAATTAGATGATTGGTTACTTGCATTAAAAATCTTGAAATTTTCATATGATTCATTACTAAAAATCTGAAGATTTTATCATCACCTGTTGATTTAAACAATGTACTTGATTTCCTTTGGTGTAATTTTCGAAGGACAAATGCGAAGACAAACAATACTGTAAGTAACAGTGGAAACAATCCAATAATAACCCAGGAGTTTCTAATCGTCTCATTACTCCAAATCGACATGGAAGATTCTGGAATTTCTGTGTGAAAAAGAACAAATTCATACCTGTTATAGTTGAATGCAGATGCCCACTGCTCCTCAATTATCCATTTTTAAGGCAATAATAATTTCATAATACAATCAATTAAATCAAACTCTTCAAATGGAAAGCTGTTTAAAAATTCCACCCATGAGAATAATTTCTAATAAATCATATGCTCATATTTATTACAACAGCTTCCAACATCTGTCACTGAAACAGTGTTGAAGTCTGTTAAAATACCTTCTCCATCATTCTCCTTCCATTCGGTCTCTAAAGCAACATTCACTGCTTGGAGATGTTCAGCAATTAGTGTAGCCTGAGCTCAAATTCCCCCAAAAAGAAGTAAATCATTCTGCTGATTCTCTTGTTCTGTTGACATGGCCAAGATACAATGCTTAAGCTAGTCTTCACTATTCAACCTGTTTGGAGATGTTATGACATACTTCGGAATCAGGTGAGACTTGAACCTACGCCTTCTGGCTCGCAACACTACCACTGTGTCACAAGACCCCTAACCCCAACTAGGTAAACCCTTTCTTTGCAATCATCACAGAGAGCTACCTATATTGTTCAAATGCCACTAAACCACTGTAATCGATGACTGGTGTTGAGAATTTAAAATGCGTGCAATACACCAGCAATTTTCATTCAGATTGGTATTCAGCCATTTAAAAGCTCCATAGTATTTAAGTAAAGTTAGGTCTTCAGTCAGCTTCGATCGATTGTTTACATTGTTCACAATAGAAACCAGCCAGAAAATGGAGACTTCAGGTGTCTTTACGTAGATGGCTTGATCACCTACTCTGGATAGTAGGCAACCACTCAATATTTGATGCTTATGGAGATGCACAGTATCCCTGACAGCAACTTCTGGATTTCCATGCTTGACTGTACATGTGCAGATTCCAGAAGTTGCTGTCAGTGTGAGAAGAGTGATGACATTGAAGATTTACAGTTTCTCCATTGTTATGATGTTAAAACTAGACCAACCTGTCCAAATATTGAGCAGCAAGTACATAAGCATTTAAGGCAAGTTGACTAAGAGGGATATAATTTAATAAAGAAAGACATAAAAATATAGGACTGGGAGCCCACAGCTTTCTGGGATAGATCATTCTAAAGATTCATAATCCTTTGAATGAAGAAAGGTTTCCTCATCTCAGTCATAACTGGTCAACTCATTATTTTGAAACAGTGAATAATGATTCTAACTCTCCACCAGGGGAAAAGCACCCTTCCCAGCAACAATTCTGTCAAGCCTGTGACAAGATTTTTCAATGTTTTACAAGATCAATAATGTCCATTGAAGCTCATTTAACTCATCACAAGAGTGGGTTGAATCATTCCTTCCAAATACATCTCCAAAGTTATCAAGATTCACAAAACACAAATCATTCAATTAGGAAAATGCCAGTGATAGACAAAAATAAATTGTTCATATCCTTTATAAACTAACAGTTTTCTAATTTTAATAGGCAACTAGGTGAAGAGATTGCAGGAAAGTTGACATTTCGGGTCCAGACCCTTCTTCAAAAATGGGGAGGAGGAAGGGAGCTCAGGCCGCAGGCCCAACCAGTCCCCCTCTACCAACACCCTCATCCGCTTAACTGAACTCTTCCTTGCCCTTAACAACTTCTCATTTAACTCCTCCCACTTCCTACAGACTAAGGGGGTGGTCATGGGCACCCACATGGGCCCAAGCTATGCCTGCCTCTTCGTAGGATACGTGGAACAGTCCCTCTTCCGCTCCTACACCGGCAAAATCCCTGCTTCTTCCTCCACTACTTTAATGACTGTGTTAGCACTGCCTTGTGCTCCCATGAGGAGGTTGAACAGTTCATCAACTTTGCTGACACCTTTCACCCCAACCTCAAATTCACCTGGATCATCTCCGATACCTCCCTCTCATCATCATAGAATCATCATAGAATCCCCACAGTGTGGAAACAGAACCTTCAGCCCAACAAATCCACACCGACCCTCAGAGCATCCCACCCAGACCCATCCCCCTAATCCACACATCCCTGAACACTACGGGCAATTTAGCATGGCCAATCCACCTCGCCTGCACATCTTTGGACTGTGGGAGGAAACCGGAGCACCTGGACGAAACCCACGCAGACACGGGGAGAATGTGCAAACTCCACACAGACAGTAACCTGAGGGTGGAATCGAAACCAGGTCCCTGGAGCTGTGAGGCAGCAGTGCGAACCACTGTGACACCAGAGGTCCCTCCTGGACCCCTCTGTCTTCATCTCTATTGACGGCCTCGAAACTTACATCTATTTCAAGCCCACCGACTCCCACAGCTACCTGGACTACACCTCCTCTCATCCACCTTCCTGCAAGAATGCGATCCCTTACTCACAATTCCTCCGCCTCCACCGCGTCTCCTCCCAAGATGGGGTGTTCAACTCCCGCACATCCCAGATGTCCTCCTATTTGAAGAACTGTAACTTGCCCCCTCCAGTGATCAAAAATTCCCTCAACTGCATCTCTTGCATTTCCCGCACCTCTGCCCTCACATCCCCTCCCGCAAACAAAAACAAAGACAGAATCCCCCATGTGCTCACATATCACCACACCAACCTCTGCATCCAATGTATCAGTCTTCACCACTTCCACCACCTACAATCCGACCCCCTAGCCAAAGACATATTTCTCTTCCCATCCCTATCTGCCTTTCGTAGGGACCGCTCTCTCTGCAACTCCCTCGTCCGCTCCACACTCCCCACTAACCCCACCAGCCGCAGCACCTTTCCCTGCAAGCACAGGAAGTGCTACACCTGCCCCAACATCTCCCCCCTCACCTCCATTCAAGGCACAAAATAAACCTTGCACATTAGACAGGCGTTCACCTGCACATCCGTCAACTTGGTCTACTGCATCCGCTGCTTCCAATGTGGCCTCCTCTACATCGTTGAGACCAAGCAGATACTTGGAGACCGTCTTGTAGAGCATCTGCACTCTGTACGCAACAAACGATAACATCTTCCAGTCGCAAACCATTTTAATGCCCCCTCCCACTCCCTGGGTGACATATTAATCCTGGGCTTCCTCCAGTGCCCCAATGACACCACCCACAAACTGGAGGAGCAGCGCCTCACATTCCACCTGAGGAGGCTACAGCCCGATGGCCTAAACGTGGATTTCACCAGTTTTAAAATCTCCCCACCCCCAGCCTCAACCCATGTCCAACCCTCCCTCTCATCCCTGCCACCTTGACCTGGCACAACCTGTCCATCTTCTCTCCCATCTATCTGCCCTTCCAACCTCACTGACCAATCCCCACCACTGTCTACCTGCACTCACCTATCACCATCCCAGCTATCTTCCCCAGCCCCACCCCTCCTCTCTCTACTTATATCCCACCTCCCTTCCCCTTCGCGATTTCTGAAGAAGGGTCCTGACCTGAAACGTCAACTTTCCTCCTCCTCTGATGCTGCCTGGCCTGCTGTGTTCCTGCAGCTCCACACTGTGTTATCTCTGACTCCAGCATCTGCAATTCTTACTATCTCTAGGTGAGGAGATTTCCTCTTTAAAAATGTTACTGTTTGCATAATGAGGAATACATTCATTTTTCCTACATCATAGCAATCATTCTTGAAAAAGCAAAGAAATTTAGGAGGAATTTAAACTGATGAATTGAAGAAGAATGTTTGTCGCTATTTCAGAAGAAGAGAAATGATATACTTTTTAACATACTGGACAAATACACAAAGAATTTCATCAAGGTTAGACAAGCAAAGTATGATCTCAAATGGACTAACAAAAGTTAGAACTAATTATTTGATTGTACAGTGCACTGTGACATTTTGAAGACATGGAAGATATTATAAAATCACAATGTTTGGGAGTGTCCACATTTGGCCAGATCCTGTAAACTAATACATGAATCTTCCCCCATTTGTGACACAATAGTACAGCGCTCCAGTCAGAGTGCTCTTTGAATACTCTATGTATTTCCAGCCTTGGGAAATGAGGAATTTATGAACAGGAGGAGGACATTTAGCCCATTGATCCTATTTCACATTTCAATGGCTGATGATCAACCTGAATACGACTTTCCCATGTTATCCCTATATCAATGATGTTTTTAATATTCAGAAACCTATTGATTTCTATCGTGGTCAATGAGAGTCATTCAAACTAAAGTGACCTCAAATGATACGGATTTCAGTAAAGGAACACAAGAAATAAATAATAATCTTATACACAAGTATAAGTTCATAAACATGTGGAAAAAAGATAAACCCAGAATATTACTTTCAATTGAGCAGTGTGCATTGAGCAAAGGCAGACAAGTTTAAACCTGAGAAAGGTAACTTTAGGATTAATATCAGAAAATTCTTTTTCATGCAGAGAGTGATTAATATTCAGAACATAGTCCCTGGGAGAACAATGAAAGTCATGATTCAGGAATCATTTGTGTAACGGTTGAATGCAGCAATACAGGGAGGATGGAACAGTTTCTGAAAGGTGTCCTCATCCAAGGAGCTCCAATAATCTACTGATAACACAAAACCATTTAGTTACTCAGATTCACCACGAATCAGTTGTTACTTGTTTCAGTTAGTAATTTGTTTTTAGAAGAACAGAATGCAAAAGTCAAAGTCTTGCTGAATGTGGTTAAAAAAGAATCTAATAGCTAAACTGCAGAGTTGATTGTACTTCTGCCACAATACCAGTTCCACTTCACATTTCATTGTACTCAGAAACCATCCTTCTATTTCAATCTGGCGTCAGGTTGTCAAACCATTTTTTCAGGTTCTTGCAATTGCAAGGCATTTGTACACAGCATCTCTTGAATCAAAGTCAATTGATTCACTGAAAAAAGTGTTGAAAAAGCTGAGTTGCATAGTGGACTTGCTCATTATTCTTTGACACATGTGAACTGAACCCCGTGTCAAAATAATTTTCTCTTTCTGACAGAAGATCTGAGTTCTCTTAGCAACACAGGTTTGTAATGCCCTCAACGAAACATAAATTCTGCACTT